TGTTAAGGAATTTGAAGAGGTAAGATAGTAAAGGCCTTGTGATTCATGTCCTATGCCAATCGTCTGTCCCGTACTGCGGTCCTGCATGAGAAAAAAATCATCGAAAAAAGTTATGCTACAATGTAGGGCTTTCGTCAAACGACTAACAGATGCTAGATTAAAAGGAGAACCAGGGACATAAAGAACAGAGTCTAGGGTGACAGAAGATAGGGGTTTGGCTTTTCCAACCCCTTTTGGTTTTGTTTGGATCCCATTGGCTAAAGCGATAGGAGGAAGAGATTGTGAATAAACAATACCAGACCAAAGTGATTTGTTACTAGAAATATGATTAGAAGCGCCTGAGTCCATTACCCATGATCCAAGTGTACTAGACTGTGAAACACAAGCAAAAGAATTACCCACAACAGAAACATTAGGTTGAGCAACCGAAGCTACTTGCGGAGGTGTTTTTTGACTTGCTCGATACTGAAGGAACTCATCATATTCTGTCTGAGCAATATGGGCATTATTGGATGGTTGATTAGGTTGAGCACCATATGCTATTGGTGGAGATGTTTGTTTACTTGCACGATTTCGAAGGAACTCATTATATTCCTTTAGAACAATAAGACCATAACTGGGTGGTGGACCATGCAAAATATAACATATGTCACGAGTGTGTCCAGGCTTATGACAATGACTACACTTGGATCGAGGTTTCCCAAAACGCCCTCCCCCTCGCCGATTCTCCATAGACTGATATGTGCTTTTCAAAGGTTTGGGATGCGAGAATAGAGAAGTCAACAGTGGGTGATGAAACTATTTTGTGACTGGGAGGTGCTGCAAGACGAAGGAGACGAGAGAATAATTCATCGATTGTAGGAACTGTAGGGCTAGCTAAAATCTGATCACGTACAGAATCATGATCAGGAGGAAGTCCAGCAAGAGTAAAAACTAGAAACAATGTTTGTGTGTGTTCTTGTTGTTTTTCCACATTCGTAGTAACTGGCATCAATGTGTCAAATTCCTCCATGACTGCCTGTACCTGTCCCAAGTAAGTAGACATATCGGATTCTTGTTTCTTTAAGTTGGTCAATCAAGCTATCACATCATAGAATCAAGATATGTCATTAGTGTATAAAGCACGAGCCTTTTCCCAAACTGTATAACACGTCTGGAATGGGCAAAACAAGGGCATCAACTTGGAATCAATAGAACGCCATAGGAGACTACATAATTGAGCATCTACTTTCTCCCATTGTGCTTTGGCTTTTGCA